AACTCTTCCGTCCTTCTGTCATCCCGCTCCCTGCCTGGGTTTCCTTCGGAGGAAAGTGAGCCAAGGGAGGCCAAGATCAGAAAAAGAAGAGAAGGAAGGAGAAGAGAGTCGCAAGGGGACCTCAGAGATCATCTAGTCCAAACCCCCCCCCCGCTAAACACCGTCTTCCCCTCCCGTAATGGCTTCCAACGAACAAAGCTCCGGGTTTGGTTGGATGGCCAGAGGGCGTAAATCCCGTCCAGCTTGGTCCCCTTTTCCCAGCTACTCCCAGGAGTAAAATGCAACGCTACTACTCCGCCAGCCACTTCTTCCAGCCTGGCCTCTCTGCGCCTGCGCGAACTGGAAGCGGCACGGGAGGGGGGGTGGCGAAAGCGGGGAAATCACGTGACTGGGGGGGAAAGCGGCCGGTCCCCCCCCCCATTTTCTTTCCTCTTTTCCTGCCAGGCGAGCCTCACCCTCCGCCCCGGCCGCCCCGAGGTCATCTAGTCTGACCCCCCCTTTGCTCTGACAGAATAATAATTGGAAGGGATCTCAGAGGTCTAATAGTTTGACCCCCTGCCCGAGCAGGAGACCCTGAAAGAATAATTAGTGGGAAGGGACCTTTGGAGGTCGTCTAGTCTGACCCCCCTGCCCAAGCCAGAGATCCTTTCAGAAGAACAAGAGTTGGAAGGGAGCCTCGGAGGTCATCTAGTCCGACACCGTGCCCTAGCAGGAGAGCTTTTTTCTTTCTTTCTTTCTTTCTTTCTTTCTTTCTTTCTTTCTTTCCTTCCTTCCTTCCTTCCTTCTTTCCTTCCTTCCTTCCTTCTTTCTTTCTTTTTCTCTTTCTTTTTTCTTTCTTTCTTTTCTTCCTTCTTTCTTTCCTTCTTTCTTTCCTTATTTTTCTTTCTTTGTTTTTCTTTTTCCTTCTTTCTTTCTTTTTCCTTCTTTTTCTTTCTTTCTTTCCTTCTTTCTCTTTCTTTTTCTTTCTTCCTTTCCTTCCTTCTCTTTCTTTCTTTCTTTTTTCCATCTTTCCTTCTTCTTCTTTCTTTCTTTCTCTTTCTTTCTTTCTTTTTTTTCTTTTTCTTTCTTTCCTTCTTTCTTTCTTTCTTTCTTTTTCTTACTTTCTTTCTTTTTTTCTTTTTCTTTCTTTCTCTTTCTTTCTTTTTCTTTCTTTCTTTCTTTTTCTTCTTTCTTTGTTTCTTTTCTTCTTTCTCTTTCTTTCTTTTTCTTTCTCTTTCTTTCTTTCTCTTTTTCTTTCTTTCTTTCTTTCTTTCTTTCTTTTCTTTTTCTTCTTTCATTCTTTCCTTCCTTCCTTCCTTCCTTTCTTCTTTCCTTCCTTCTTTCTTTCTTTTTCTTTCTTTCCTTCTTTCTCTTTCCTTCTTTCTCTTTCCTTCTTTCTTTTTCTTTTCCTTTTTCTTTCCTTTCTATCCTTTCTTTCCTTCCTTCCTTCTTCCCTTCTTTCTTTCTCTTTGTCTTTCTTTTTCTTTCTTTCTCTCTTTCTTTCTCTTTCTTTCTTTCTTTCCTTCTTTCTTTTTCTTTTCTTTCTTTTTCCTTTCTTTCTTTCTTTCTTTTTCCTTCCTTCCTTTGTTCTTCCCTTTTCTGTTTTTCTTTCTCTCTTTCTTTTTTTCTTTCTTTCTTTCCTTCTTTCTTTCCTTTCTTTCTTTTTCTTTCTTTCTCTTTCTTTTTCTTTCTTTCTTTCTTTCCTTCCTTCCTTCCTTCGTTCTTCCCTTTCTCTTTCTTTCTTTCTTTGTCTTTCTTTTTCTTTCATACTTTCTTTCTCTTTCTTTTTTCTTTCTTTCTTCTTTCTTTCTTTCTTTCTTTCTTTCTTTCTTTCTTTCTTTCTTTCTTCTTTCTTTCTTTTTCTTTTTCTTTCTCTTTCTCTCTTTCTTTCTTTTTCTTTCTTTCCTTTCCTTTCCCTTCCTTTCTTTTTTCTTTCTTCTTTCTTTCTTAGCCGTGGGCTAATTGCCACCCGTGGACAGCCTCCTCGGCCATACACGCCCAGTTCCACTCACACGAGCCTAATTGGGGGAGATCGTGAGCGCACTCGCACGAGCCTCATGCGCTTCCCGCCTCCCACAAAATCGCCTCTTTTTTTCCCCCCTCTCCCTGCTCCGGACCGCCAACCCAGAGAGGTCAGAGACCTTTGCCCTACCTCATATCCACCTCATATCTCGTCTCATCCCCTTATCCAACCTCATATCCTCCTCGTACCTTACCGATCTTTTCGTATCTCATATCCACCTCGTATCTTCTTTTACTTTAGCTTCTCTTATCCGAATCTTATTTGATCTTATCATTTCCAAAGTGGTTTAGGAAGGAAAAGCCGCCACCGAGAGTGAATCTTATTTGATCTTATCATTTCCAAAGTGGTTTAGGAAGGAAAAGCCGCCACCACAGAGTGAGCCACGCAGGGTGTGCAGCTGTGATGGGGAAAAAGCGTGCAAGCCCCTGCGCACACCCTCGGTCACGCCGAGCGGCAGGTGCTTCCACACACTGGTTGCACGCATGCTGGTCCCTCACGCAGAACTATCCCACATTCCTTCCCTCCACCAGTCCATCAAGTTGGTGAACGGCGGTACGGTCCCGCCTCCTGAAGAAAAGACGGAGGAAGACCTTCAAAAAGATATACCTGCTTCTCTCACCGGCGTCCAGGAAAGGGTGACGAAGAGCCCCGGCTGACACGCCCCCCCCCGAGTGACGCACATCATTCCCCGGGAGAATGGACAAGACTCCCTCAATATAAGAAAAAGAACAAGACAAGGATGCCCACTGCTGCCTTTGCTCTTTGCGTTCCCTTTGGAAGGCTGAAACGGAAAAAAGGAGAGATGACAAGAGTATAAAAGGGATGAAAATTAAAAAGGAAGCATTTAAGCTGCAAGCCTTCGTGGATGACTTGGCTTTTATTTTAGAAGACCCTTTAGAAAGAGCACCCAAATTACTGGAAAAGATAGAGGCCTGGGCGAGGTGGGTGGTTTGAAAATAAACAAAGATAAGGCAAAGATCTTGACAAAGAATATGCTATCAAGACAAAAGGAAGAATTGGCAGACCTATTGAAAATTCACATTACAAATAAGATCAAGTATTTGGGGATACATTTGACAGCAAGATGTAGTACATTAAAGGAGAATAATTATATCAAACTCAAACAGCAGATAGCGCTAGATTTGGTGAAATGGGAAAATCTACAACTGTCATTCATAGGGAGAATATCAACAATCAAGATGAATATATTACCCGGAATTTTACCTTTGTTTCAAACAATACCAATCCAGCTTGGGAAAGGACTACTTTGAAGATTTCAATAAAATGGTGTTGAAATATATATATATATATATGGCAAAGTAAGAAAGCGAGAATAAAGTTAAAACTTTTGCAAGATGCTAAAATTAGAGGAGGATTTGGTTTGCCTCATTGGGAGTTGTACTACCAAGCTACAAACTTGATGTGGGTCAAGCAATGGATAACATTAAGAAACACTAGATTGTTGACATTAGAAGGACATGACTTGTGGTTGGGGTGGCACGCTTTTTTATGGTATAAAGGAACCGAAACACAGGGCTATTTTAGAAGACATCATATACGGGAGTCTCTGTGGTTAAACTGGGAGAAGATTAAAGGACAATGTTATTTGAAAATTCCAGTCTGGCTATCGACTATTGAAGCATTTTCCTATCCTATAATATACAAGAAGGAACAAACAGTTAGATATGGGGAAATATTGAATGAAAAGGGGAACTTAAATCAATGCAAAAACTAGAGGAACAAGGCATAAAGATGAATTGGTTTTCATATGCGCAAATACATTCAAGGTATGATGAAGATTTTAAAACAGAAGGATTTTATGATAAATCGACTGATTTAGATAAGATTTTGACAGGTACTGATGAAAAGGTGATTAAAAAATTGTATGGATATCTATTAGAAACCAAACTAGAAGAAGAACAAGTTCAAGAAACTATGATTGCTTGGGGGAAGAATTTTGGAGATGGGGTCGATTTAGAGAAACGGCAAAAACTGTGGTTTCAAAATTATAAAATGACAATGTCAACAGCATTTAAAGAAAATCTGTATAAGATGTTTTACAGGTGGCATTTTCCCCCCTGACAAGAAGAGCAAGAATGTTCAAGAATAAATCTGAAAAATGTTGGAAATGTCATCAGACACCTGGCTCATATTACCATATGTGGTGGACTTGTGCGGATGCTAGAAAATACTGGACTAAAATCCACACGTGGTTGGAAAAAATGACCAAAAAAAAAAAAACCCATATAGATTTGAAACCAGAGATATTTTTATTGGGAATTTTACCTGATACATACAGTAAAGATTTGAAATATTTGATTGTAATTGTATTCACAGCGGCCAGGATTGTATTTGCTAAAAACTGGAAAAATGAGAAAACACCATCGCAGGAAGAAACCATTAAGAAAATATTGGAATGTGCTGAAATGAGCAGATTGACATTTGAAATTAGAGAACAAGAGGATAAACAATTTTACAAAATTTGGGATCTTTTCTATCAATGGCTAGATAATAAAATATAATAATGGAATATGTAGAATATTAGAAAATAATGAATATATCAAGATATATTTCTTTTCTTTTTTTATTATTATATCTATAAAATGTTTCTAGGGTAGATTTGGGAGGATTATATGAATTGTTATGATATAAACTAAGTAAATTATAGGTATCTCGCAAAGTGTGAATGAACAAAATTATAGTCAAATGATTGATTAATAATGATGCAAGATATTTAATCTTTGATTGAGAATATGGGTTATGATGCAACGTAACTGTAATTGCGACTATGAAATGGATGCACAAAAAATTTGTAAACCAACCGACACACTGCTTGTATATTTATGGAAGAAAGTTGGATGTTTTTATGTTTTGTTTTTGTTTGTCTTTAAAAACCAATAAAATTTACAAAAAAAAAAGAAAACATCATTCCCACATCTCGGCAACGTGCCTCACTTCTGCATTAAAGAAAGGAAAATCATAATTACAGAGGGTCCTCAATTGACGACGGTTTAGTGACCATTTCAAAATTACAATGGCGCTGAAGAAAGTGACTTCGGACCATCCATCCTTGCGACCGTTGCAGCAGTCCCACGCTGACGTGATCAAAATTCGGATACTCGGCCACTGACTTGTATTTATGGCGGGCTCAGGAGATTTCCCCGATTTTGCGACCCTCCAATAAGCAAAGTCAACGGGGAAGCCTGTGGCAGTCTGGCACTTGAAATGAGACGCAGGGAAATGTCTGAGCAAATGCCAGCCCCGAGCGAACTCAGGCAGCAGTATTTATTTAAGAAAGAAATCGAAAGTACAGAATTGAAAACAATGACCTCAACAGGATGAGAACATACAGCTGCGGAAAGTCCCATGAGAACATACAGGCACGGAAAGTCCCATGGGAATGTCTCTGCTGTGTACCTTGAACCTTCACCTATTTTCCTGTACCTTCTAAGCCTGCAGATCATAACAGGAAGAAGCACTCATTGCAAAGGCACTCCTGCCCCCACCAGGAATGCCTACGCATCCCTAGATCTATGCGAAATGGCTGTACAAAGGACTTACAGAAAATGATTAATAAAATATATTACCACATTCCCTCCTTTTTGTGGTAACATATGTTATTAATCATTTTCTGTAAGTCCTTTGTACAGCCATAAAGATAAGGATATGCAGGCATTTCTGGTGGGAGTAGGAATACTTTTATGCAGGAGTGTCTTATCCTGTTATCTGCAGGCTTAGAAGGAACAGGGAAATTAGTGATAATTATAGGTATACAGCAAGGACTTTCGTCAGCGGGACCTTCTATGCCTGTATGCTATTATCTTGTCGAGGTCATTTGTTTTCTGAATCTTCAATAAATACTGCTGCCTGAGTTCGCTCAGGGCTGGCATTTGCTCAGACGGTTCCCTGCGTCTCATTTCAAGTGCCAGACCACCACAAGTGGTGACCCCGACATGATAGTTTGGAAGAGCTATACGTTCCGACGTGATAGCTTGAAAGGCTATACGTTTCCTGCATCCTATACTCATCGTCGCGGACGTAGACTGGGCCCTCATCTTCTTCGCTGGACGGAGATAGATTCTTTTCGTGAGTATGGGGGGAGATTTCTCGAAGGCTCAGAAAGGGCACATCAGGGAATTGAGAGGAATCACTTGGAATAGTTTTAAGTTTGGAGTTCATAGTAGAGGACATATTGTAGGAAAGAAAGAAATTGAGGACTTATTACAGTATGTTTGGAAACATATTCAGTCATATCCAGAGGGAGGTAGTATTAAAGTAGAGTCCTGGAAAAAGATAGGGAAATTTTTGCACGAAGAACCTCGTGCCCCTTCTTCAATTTTGTTAACCTGGGGGGTGGTTATGGATGCGTTAGCTACTTATGAACAACCGCTCCTAGCACCCCCCGAAGAAGGTTTGCCGTCTTACCATGCGGTACGTTTGTTGCCGCCGACAACACCTCTAGATAAATCCAGAGGACTGTCAGGCGCTGAAAATACTTTGTCAGAAGATAAGAGTTTACCTTTAAGAGTTCAAGTAGATGCAGTTACTGCAGCTATTCAAGAAGCAACAAATAGAGGGGAATTATCAGGAGATGATTTGGTGGAATTTGGAGTGGAGATTCAACTTAATCCAGTAGAAATTGGCGTGGACGCTGCGTTAAATCCGCAGCGGGAGTGGAAGCCTTTACCTCTCAGAGTTTTAAAGGAAGTTAAGCAAGCAGCAAAAGAGTATGGTGTTAGATCGCCATATACTCAGGCATTGTTAGAAGCAGTTGGTTATGGAAATAAAATGATTCCGGCTGACTGGAAAGCTCTGTTGAAAATGATTTTAACTCCAGCGCAATATTTGGTGTTAGATCAGAAATGGAGACAGCTGGCAATCCGGAGGGGAACAGCAAATGTTACCCCAGATCAGCTTTATGGAGCTGGTAATTATACAACAGTAGAACAACAGAGAGATGGAATGCCTGAGGAGGGGTTCGTTCTTCTCCCACAATTAATTTTTCAAGCCATAGGGGCTCTCCCTGACGGCGAAGGTGGCGAGAAGACCTTCACTAACATCAAACAAGGGAACAATGAACCCTATGAAAATTTCATTAGCAGATTGAAAGTGGCTATTGAAAGGCAAATTGATAATCAATTCGCCCGGAATGAATTGCTTTTGAAGTTAGCAGTAGAACAGGCTAATGCAGATTGCAGAAAGATTTTGAATCCACTTATTGCGAGTGGAGAGCGAGAGATCGCCGATTTAATTAATGCATGTAGAAAGGTGGGGAGTCAGACTTTTAACATGGAGACTTTAGCTCTGGCTCTGCAGGCAGGAAATGCTAAAAAAGGAACTTGTTTCAATTGTGGGAAGCCTGGACATTTTAAAGCACAATGTCGGGCTCCTGGAGGGGGTCAAAGTCAGCAAAATGAGAGATCAATGGGACAGGGTGTGACCTAAATCAGTACTCAGCCTATATCAGATGCTCCTAAAGTTTTTACTGATGGAGGAAAAAAAAATTTTTTTGGTGCTTGTGTTTGGAAAGATAAATCTGGAATTTGGCATACAAAAGTGACATCAGAGCAGAAGTCTGCCCAACAGGCAGAAATTGCTGCTGTAGTTTTGGCTTTTCAAAATTTTCAAAATCAGGCTTTTAATCTAATAGTGGATTCTTTGTATGTATATAATTTGTTACCCTTTGTAGCAGGTTCCTATTTGTCTCCTGGAATATCACCTAATATTTTAAGATTGCTTTTGTTGTTGCAAGGATGTTTGGAGCAGCGTGTGCATGCATATTTTGTTGCCCACATTCGTAGTCATAGTAATTTGCCTGGAATTTTATCACAAGGTAATGCCAAAGCTGACAGTGCTGTAACTTCAGTTCTCACTGTCCAGCCATGGGACAGCCATAGTTATTTTCATCAAAACGCTAAAGCATTGGCACACCAATTCAAGCTTACCACTGCAGAAGCTGCTGCCATAATTCAACAATGTCCAACTTGTTCAAGGCAGGGCACAGCTATCCCTATGGGAGTCAACCCCAGGGGGTTGAAACCTTCAATGATTTGGAAAATGGATGTTATACTTTAAATTTTTTAAATTTGTCTGGTAACCCCCCTGCGAGTGCGGCCAGCAGGCATTTTTCTTCCCCTTCTACAGATGCGGTGAGACCTCGGGTGTTGGTGCGGTTCCTTCCGGATCCGGCATGGGTTCCTGCTGAGCTGATTACGTGGGGACGTGGTTATGCAGCAGTAGAACATCTTGGTCAAATTTGTTGGGTTCCTGGTCGGTGCGTTCGGCCTGATCATTCACAGGCACCGGTGAAGGAGGTTTCGGAGAAGCAGGATGGCGTTCCTGTGGTTCCTGATTCTCTTGATGCCGGCAGTCCAGGCGCGGCGCTGTGAAGGCTGGGAAAAGATGACTGCTTATCTGAGATTGCCAACTTGTATGCAGCAGGTTCCTTTGGGGAATCGGACTAAATTAATCTGCAAACAGCGGCATCCTTTGATTTTTCCAGCATATTGGTCCTGGCATAAGGATCAAGACATTCTTTACTCGGGACCTGATAAGGATATTACATCTTCAGCCTGTGCTACAACTCTGATCCTGTTTAATGTTTCTGTTTCAGACTATGGACAATATCGGTGTAAATTGGAGTTGCCTAAGTTACCTTACACAGACTCTCTTTCCATTCGTCTTATGCCTCCACGGACTCTAATACGGAGGCGAAGAGCTGTTATTATCTCATAAACTAGAGACCTTGGAGATAATTTATGGAAAGAAAATTCCTATATCAAGGACATTCAGATTGCGGCTAAGGGTTTAAATGTTACTAATTGTTGGCTTTGTATGCATGTACCTGGGTCTGGAAAAGGTGGTAATTTGTGGACTCAGATTTCTAGGGCAGCAATCCCACCTTTGGGAATAGCTATGAACTATAAAGATATTCATATTTTAAATAATTTTACTGTTGCTATGTTTAATAATGCTATCAGAAGCATTAAGATGTTGAATGAGGAAGTGTCTGAAATTTGCCAAGTTACTTTACAAAATCGTTATGCTTTAGACATAATGTTAGCTGCCAAAGGAGGAGTGTGTGCCTTAATTCATTCACATTGTTGTGTTTTTATACATAATTTTGAGCCTAACATTACAAAAACTGTTCATGATATGGAAGACCGCATAGCTAAACACGAAGCAGGAAAAGATGGCTTCAATAAGTCACTTTGGGCTTTGCTATGGGATTGGCTTCCTGACAGCTCATGGTTACGTTTATTGCTTCAATTAGTTGTAATAATTGTTATTATACTTATTATGTTATGTTGTTTTATTCAATGTATTCCTAATCTATTACAAATGTGTACCTCAGCTTTTCGGCATAGGAGATCAAGTTGCGAAGGAACTGTGTACTATGCCACTAAAACACCCCCTATCTTTGAATAAATAAAAAAGGAGGGAATGTGGTAACATATGTTATTAATCATTTTCTGTAAGTCCTTTGTACAG